TGGTGAACGAATCATCATACCAAAAAGTCTACAACAAAAAGTTGTTAACCTAGCTCACGAAGGACACCAAGGAGTTACACGAACCAAACAATTACTTCGCGAAAAAGTATGGTTCCCTGGTATTGATCATCTGGTACAGACTCAAATTGACTCTTGTATTGCATGTCAAGCCAACACAAGTAAAGTACATCCGGAACCATTAGTGATGTCTGAACTTCCAGATGGACCCTGGTGTAATGTTTCTATTGACTTTTGTGGACCGTTTCCAAATGGATATTATTTGTTTGTGATTATTGATGACTATTCTCGTTTTCCCATAGTTGAAACAGTAAAATCCACATCTGCAGATTCTATAATTCCTTTGTTAGATAAAATATTTTCTGAATTTGGAATACCACAAATTGTGAAAAGTGATAATGGACCGCCTTTTCAAGGTCAAGAATTTGCTAATTTTGCTCAGTATCTTGGATTCAAACATCAGAAAATCACACCTCTTTGGCCTCAAGCCAATGCGGAAGCTGAAAGACTGATGCAACCTTTGTGTAAGGCTATCCGATCAGCAATTGTCGAACGTAAAAGTTGGAAACAAGAACTGTTCACATTTTTGCGTAATTATCGTGCTACACCGCATCCGACAACTAATCACACACCAGCTGATCTGATGTTTGATCGTCCAATTCGAACAAAACTTCCAGAAGTTCGTAGTAAAGAACCTCCAGCTAACGTCAAGGCACATGATCAATCTCAGAAATCTAAAATGAAAGATTATGCTGACAAAAAACGATCTGCTAAGAATCACACAATCTCAGAAGGTGATACTGTTTTGATTCGTCAGTCAAAGAAAGACAAATTCTCCACTGTTTTTAATCCTAAACCTTACAAAGTTAAATCAGTAAAAGGAAGTATGATTACTGCTAAAAGACATGATCATCATATTACTCGTAATAGCTCATTTTTTAAAGTCATTCCGAAAGACAGATATAATTCTTCTGAAGAAGATGAGGAGGATACTGATGATCAAGATATAGTTGATAACGACCCAGATCTAAACCGTGATCCAATTAATCAACATAGATCTAGATATCCCCACCATAATAGAAGACCACCAAGATGTTTGATTGATGAGATGTAAACTAAAACATTGAACTTTTTATTTAATTTCTTGTTAAGGTTATAATGTTAAGTTGTGTATAGCGAGAAATATCATTGAGGATGATAGTTATGAACATTGTAAATTAACAATTACTGTAATGGTAATTCTAAGTGTTAAAGTAAATGGACTTTTAAAAGTTTCGAAGGTTGAAATTTAAATTTTAGTTTTCCAGTTTTATAATAATATCTTAAAGACAGTCACCACATTTTTTATTCAATTTGGGGAGGATTGTCGTATTCACATGTCCATCCGAGTCCATATCTTATATTAGCTATTGTAGATCCAAATCCATATATTATGATCAACCACTCATCGACACACTTCCGCTGTACAAATGTCTGTCACTGAATAAATGGATTGTCACTCACTCTCTAGTTTCAACTCAATATCGAACTCAAGACTATGATAGTATGTTTATGTAACGTCTGCTTCCACTGAGGGGGGGGTTGGATGGCCAAATGGTTAGCACGTGCGCGCTCTCTATCATAAGACCTGTCATTGAGTCAACTGGCGTGGTTTCTAATCCCCAGTTGTACGTGACAAAGAGTAGGGTCGCCTGCCCAACCTCGTGAGTTTTCTCCGGGTCCTCCATTTTCCTCCCACTGCTAAGGACCCCTACGCGCAAGCAAATTATTGAAATAAAATTAAACCATATGTTAGTCCCGAAATGACCTAGTTTGTGTCGAGTGGACGTTAAACCCTATTTCTCTCTCTCGCGACCACTGAGATCTTATTGCAGACACTAAAATTTGTGTATGTTATTATTTACAAACAAGAGATGTAACAGAATTAAAGGATTAACAAATTAATGTGAGAATCTATAAAAATCTGATATAAAAACAACAAAATAGGTCATGACAGGGTGGTGCAACTCTTCCTTGGTGCTTTTTGGCACATCTGGTTCCTGGTCAATTTTTCCTTATATCTTTAGTTTTTTGTCATTGTTGATCGTTGGCTGGATTATTCATTCCTTTTTGAAGGAAGAATTCAATGCCCAAAAAGAGAGAAAGATAAAGAGCAGGGGGCAGTTTCACAAAAGTTCGTAACTTTAAGAAAAGAAACTATGTTAAGAAAAACTTACGAAAATGATACAAATTATTTACGTCGGTTTCACAAAGGCCGGCGTAAGTGTTTTCTTAACTTTTTCTTGTATCTTTTTTCATAAATACGTCACGAATGGTCGTGACGTCATGTTGCGTCACTTCATTCACACTTTTGTAAACATTCTTACGGTCTGAATGTTGATTTGATCCTTACATTTTGAAACATAAACGATGAAATGATATATTCCTTATATATATGCTAAGCTTTAGCCGTGTATTTATGAATAAAATGCTATTTTCATGCCTTTTGTTTACTTGTTTTTGTTTGCTACGTCATATCGCGTGACATAGTAGCAGTCTGCCAAAAGCCGATATGGAGCCTAAAAAGCGTAAAAACAAAATCGGTCTTTGCCGCGAGAGCCCTACTAGGCCTACAGGACCTAGTAGTAGTAATACTGGACCTAATAGTAATACCGGGCTACTGAGATTATTTTTCCTGGGCTCCTGTTTGTGATAAATTAAATTAAATACTATGTTGTAGTGTAAATGCTGGCTTACAACCGAAGGCCCACAAGGTCTTAGGCTTCAGTCTGAGCCTGCCAAGCCTATATTGGCATACCGGTACTTTAGTGGACAAATCCGACCCTGTCCATAAAACTTAAAAGGCAGTTACTGTATAGACACTGATGGTACGCTAACCCCATGTGCCATCAGCAATGAGTTTTTGGAAGCTACTTGTGGGCGTGGCATAGTAGCCTATCATAATGCAATCAGGACTTGTACAGATGACAAGGATTTCCATTGGTAAGTTGCGGTTTCGATATCATCATTAATACAGTTAATAACATGTAATATACTGGTCCGATCAAGTCTGTACTGCGAAACTAACTCCTCGTCTGTATGGGTGTCGTGAGGGTTTAATCTATCCCCGAATATTCTCTCTCGTCGAAGTTGCCAAGCCGCATAAAGTAACAAGACGACCATTTTGTCAAAGATACGTACAAATTTCTAACTTACCACAAGGTTAGAGTTGCGTAGACTTTACGATAAAAGTTACGAATTTCATAAGTTAAGAATTTTAGTGAAATATGATTTTTACTAAGTTTACGTTACGAAAAACTTACGCAAACTTTTCATCGTAAGTTGCTTTGTGAAACTGCCCCCAGTATTTTATCTTAAGTGGTTGGTTTTTAGATTTGTCTAAAATGGCTTCAGGGCATGGGTGGGGCAAAGGATAGCAAAAAGAAAGATAGGTTGCCACACAACAATAGATATGCCCACAGCAGCAAAGTTGTCCAAGCATTCCACAAGGGTTGTTGCATATTTTTTTCTTTTGTTGGTAAAAAAGGATTTACAAGATGACACTAAAAATTTATTAAGAGTATCAATCCATTAAATAATTATCATTAGGATTTCTTTAACTTCTAGTTCTGCAGCATGCTGACACTTTGCTTCATCTCAAGACCTTAAACACTGTGTATAATTTTAAAGTCAATCGGATGATAACTTTTGTCTGAGTGACGATATGATTTACAACATCTTATAAAAACTGTTGAAAATATGTCTCTGTCTCAGATCATAAATGCTGCATATGAATTTAAAGTCAATCAGATGAGAACTTTGGTTACAAGTGTGTCCACAGGATTTTGCAAAGTGATTAAGGGCCATAACTCTGGCAGTAATTAATCATAAGATATCATTGAAAATCACTAGGCTTCTTCGTCTCATGACCTTGACCACTGTGTACAAATCAGATGATAACTTTTGTCTCTAGGGCGTCCACAAGTCAATCGGATGATAAGTGTAGCCTCTATAGCATCAGCAAGATCTTTTCAAAGTGATCAAGGGCCATAACTCCGGAAATAATCATTGGAAAATCAATAGGGTTCTTTGTCTCATGACCATAAACAGTTTATTTAAGTCAATCGGATAATAAATTTGGCCTCTAGAGCATCTACAAGATTTTGCAAAAGGACTGACAGGGGCGACAACAATATAATGACAGGGGCGTATAAAAATCTGTCTGAATTCCCCATGTCATTGATATAAAACAACTTCTTTACAGGTTTATAAGTACAAGTCTCAGTGGTTCCCATGGAAATAAGTATAAAACAGGAATTCTCTGTATCTGGTTAATATTGTTTGTGAAATATATAAATATCCCACCAATAATGTTATGATTGTAAAATCTATCTAATACTCAATGATGTATATTATTGTGATTTCATAATATACAAGGCAAGGGGTGGTTTCTAATTGCCTCGTGATTCAAAGAGAATTTTTTTTTAATGAACTGTGTTAGGAATCTGACAAAGAAAAACCTAGTAATGGGTATCACAGCAATCATTAATCCAATGTTTTATGGACCATTTCACACAATGAATGGTAGTTCTCCAGCATTAAAGTTCTCCTTAGTATACTTGGAGGTTGACCCTTCACTGATACAGATTTCATTTAGGCGTGTGTTACAAATGAAATAATTATTTCCACTGCATTGGTAAGTGAAACAGAAAAAGGGGTGTTATGTGTTTGTATGTGAGTGTGTATGTGGAAAAGGGGAGTGGGGAGATCTGGATGTGGCAGATATTCCCTTAATATTTTTTGTGGAATCTGTTACTTTTACATATTTTTCTGACGTAACTTCATCCTTTTTCTATGCATGTATATTGTAGTCACCAAAGTTCATTGGTCTGTCCACAATATTTTGTAAACTGCACAACTCAGTGACAGACCTTTAGACCATGCACTTCTCCCCTGAGATTCTCCTTGTTATGTATTCATTTTTAAATCCATTTTTTTTTCAGGTTTATAACAGCTGATAAAAGCAAAAGATTGATTTTCAAAAATAACTAATAAAAATGAACTGACCTTAATCAACCTCAGTACCTGTTACATGATGCCATGTCAGATGTTAATGCACAGCACTGAGGAAAGCATTACGAGCATATCAAATTTTTGATTATTTTGTTTTTCCATTGAACTTGTTTATTCAAGTGTTTTAGGAGATTAAAAATGATTATGGGTAGACATTAGCAGTATATTGTGTTATATTATATATAGTTATGGATGAATTCTTTGTTATTGGTTTTAGGTATAATAATTTTAAGGCATCAAAATATTTTACTTTTTATTAAAGGGGAAGTGCCCGATTTCAAAGGCCACAGTCAATAAATGTGGTTTTATTTATGTAAATCAAAAACCAAAAGGTGACAATATATCATGTTTACCTATACTAACTTATGCTAAAATATTTTAAGGATGCAAGCATTTCATTGGTTGAGAGTTAAAATCCTAATACAAATTTTAGCTTTTAGCCAATGAAAGGGCTGAATTCTTAAAATATTTTAGTTTTTGTTTTTGTGAATAAGGCCCCAGGCTATTAGAAAATGATCAGTGTATGTACTTTAAATAAAACTAGGTTATGTAAATCTTTTAAGGATTTTTAATTTTCAGTTGTCTGGGTTACTTGATAATCATAACAATCATATTTGTCAAGTAGATAGAGATGGTTATCCAAGTGCTCACACAGCAAGAAATTTGGGGACTTATGGTTAAATCCTAAATGGTAACTGAAAGTTTTTTAAAAAAAAATATCACAGAGCTTCAGACAGTTGTAATGAACTAGGATTAAGTCTTTCAACCTGAATTAAACCATTCTATTCACTAAAATATGGCTTCCCCCCTTTAATAAATAATAGTTATTTTATTGTTAGGCCATACAAAAACAAAATATTCTGGTTCTTAGACAATCCTTATTAAAAATCTGATGCAGAAGAAAGGTTTTTATTTTTGTGTTTTTATTTTGTCAAAGGATTGCTACTGGACTAAATGACTTCTCATAAACTTGGCGGGAGCCACATTGGTTAAGTGTGTAAGACGCTGGCTCGCTAGCCTGGAGGTCACATGTTCGATCCCAACATTGGCCAAGAAATTCATCAGGATTTTTCGGGTTGGCTTCTCCTTGTCAGTGTTGCAGAACAGAGGGACTGATAAGGACAGCTGTCTAGTCGTTTGGAGTGCACGTAAATGATCCCTTGGTAGTTGGAATTCGATATAAGAGTAGGCCATAGTGCTGCTGCCCGGGCAAAATTTTCCTCATAGCACACTGTATTGCGTATGATCGTCTGCATTAGCCAAGTCGGAACAGAACAGTAGGACGCTAAACCCCATTTAATTTCATAAGCATGGCATTTCTACCCAAGCTGCTACATTTATCTCATCATGTTGTTTAACAGGAATGTATGATTATCAAGTATCATTTATGATTGTCAGTATCAGAGTTGTGTATTTGATAAATGCGCCTATGCCACATGTCAGGATTTGTTCAAATATATTTTAGAGCTACTTCCTGTAACAGGGTAAAACATTAACTGTGGTAATTAATGAGACACAGATTTTATCTGATAACCAGAAATTTGTTTATATATGACCTCATATATATATATATATACTTATTTACAAGATTCATGTTGAATCTATAAAACAGTATTCATCTTATTGATATATAGGTATCTATTTTTTAATAATAAATTTATATAATATAATTTTTGTTCTTATTTAGTAAGAAATTACTTCACAATGTTTTAAAATATTTTAATTAATGTTGAAGTTTCTTTGAAATTATGTGACTTCAGGGTTCCGTTTCACAAAGCACATCTAAAGGTGGGCTTATGTTGATTACATAAGCAACTGAGGACAACTGAGAGAAACTGAATTCAGAGCACTCATGTCGACTCAAAACTAATACCGATTACACTTAACATGTGACTATTAATTTATTCATCATGTGATTAACAAAATGTTGAATACCTTAGAAGAAGCACCCCAAAGGCATGGTTAGTCTTGCCACAATTCTATTAATACAGTATTGCTGACGCAATCAACATTTGAAAAGTAAGTGTCTTTGTTTGCTTCCATTTTGCTTATTTATAAAGTCACATGACACACAACTGTTATCATGTGATGTTATTTCCATGGAAACAAGTTGATGCCAGTTGTAAGAATGCTCATGTCAACGGCAACTAGTTGCTGCTAGTTGAAACAAGTTGCAGAAAGTTAAACATGGGCAACTGGCTCATTTGAAGCCAGTTTCTCTCTGTTGTAAGGTTGACATAAACCCCCCCTTTACACACTTCCTCACATGTAGTGTAGCAATATTCTGGGTCAACGGCAGCAAATCGAACCTGTAACACTATCCTTTCTGTTGATCCTGTTTCACAGTTTCAAATCTTTGACTTAAGATTGGTCTTCAATATGGACTTAACGTTGTGTTCTTTTAATACTAAAACTCTGGAACACTGTGTTGTTCTATATACATGTTTATATAACAGTAACACATCACCAATACAAAATGGGAGCCATGGTGACTCAGTAAGACGTTGGTTCACTAACCTGGAGGTCCCATGTTCGAACCCTGTCTTGGCCGAGAAAGTTCATCAGGATCCTCTGGCATTGTTCCTCCATGTCAGTAGTGCAGGACAAGGGATAATATATAGTTATTTGGATGGTACGAAAAACCAAGTTCCTGTGTACACATTGGCGTGCATGTAAAAGATCCCTTGGTAGTTGGAATAGAATAACGAGGTATTATTTATTTGATTGGTCAGTCTGCCAAGAATTTATCTTAATGTCCTAATATAGAAACTGTGTAAACAAAAATATGCACAAATTTGTAAAATTAGGTGTTTGACATTACTGTCTAGCAATTTTCCATTTGTTGGTTTGAGAAACGACACACGAGTCTACATAACTTCCTGTCATTGATGACAGATAATTTCCGTTAGTTTGAAACACAAGTAGTTTACGAATTAGACATAGCTACCATACCACAATTCAGGGTTATTTTCTATCAGTATATGAATATTAGCCTGCAGTTATACTACAGAAGATCGAACATTTTATGAAAACCAAAGTCTCTCACTAGCGCTATAGGCTTGACAGACTGAAGCCTAGGATTTAATTATCCAAGGGGCCTCTGGCCAAGGTGTATAATATTTTCTTTTATGCACTATATATTCCAATCTGATTAAAACACAGATCCTATTTCGTTTCTTTTATAGTTCAACATTTCGTTTTACTTGTCTTTACTACACTAGGATCTATTCTGTTTGATGTGAGGGATTAGCCAATGAAACGATCTGTTGCAGGAGTTCTTGGTGTGCGATGCAGGGAACTGTGGGTATCCTGTAGGTCTGAAAAGGAAAACGTTCTAGTCACTGGGATGGGATGAAAAATCAAGGTCTAGCATCTACATTTTGACCATACACTAATAGAACATTTGCAAAATTCTCCCACTTCACTATAAATAAAAATGACCCAAGTCCTGTGTTGATGAGATGTTAAACCCTATTCTATTGTTGATATAATGCAAAAACACTGGTTTGTCGGGACATATTTTTTTATTCGTCTTCCTTAATTTATCATGAAAACCAACAAATCTTCACTTCATTTTAAGAATATGTACAGCCTAGTTTTCATCTCCAGTATTAAAAATATGCACTAAATATAACATGTCGTTGAAGTGGAATATTAACAATATTCATATATATCTACAATATATTATTATTACAAACTATCATACCTAAAATTCATTTAACAATGAAATATTTCATAAAAATCATTATTTCAAAATTACCAAATGTTCAAACCTACCAATTTATATTTTTGTAGGATAGAAAAACATTTTCAATATGTCAAATACGGCACTAATATGATTCTCAGTAAAAATATTATATTTTCAACTTAAAGATAAATCCTCTTCACTATTGTCACATGTTAGTAAATAAAGATACCAACAAATTAAAATACATTCTGAATGGAATCTATTTTTATATCTATGGAATCAAATTCTACTTTCATTTTTAGTAATAGAAAACATTATTCCATTCCTATTATTGTTAAAATCTTAAATTCTACATATATCTAAGCCTTTTTCAATCTTTTTCTCAAATGCACAAACAGCTATTATGCAATAAAAGTGTTTTATTATATATCAATATTTCAAAAGTTTTAAGTTTTCAAAAGACAGTTAACAAAAGTCTGATATTTTTTTCAAAAATGAATTATGCTACAGTGGGATAACATTATGGATATGCTTAGACAATATCGATTTCTTTAAGTTCTACATGCTGTACAATAACATATCTGATCAATAAACTATAACACATACTTATGGAAAATTTATTTGGGTGACATTTCCAAGGGCATTCTCTCAACCTTATTGAGCTTGTTATAGTTTATTGCTCTATTCAGTTACTAAATGCCTCTAATAGACTAACATATCCGATATTGCTATCCAGGTAATATCAATCAACAGCATTGATTTTAGAATTCATTTACATGTATAACAATGATGAAAACAAGATTTTTACCATCAAAATGTTCCTAAGAAGAACTATATGTATTTAAGAGAGCCTATAAATGTAATGTTAGATTTACATTAAAAAGAACTATATGTATTTAAGAGAGCGTATAAATGTAATGTTAGATTTACATTAAGGCACCCATACTTGTTATCTAATTAGATTCTACATAGTTAATTTTTCTTACAGTAGTATTAACACTTCTTAAAGTGGGCAAGTTAAAAGTCACATCAATTCTAATTCATCAACCAATCAGTACAATACAGTACAGGAGAGCAATCTAATATGTAGTTCACTAATGCCAAAAAGAAATTTTTATGGCCGTTACAGCAATAATTACAATATACAATTGGTTTCAACCATAATATTTTCCATGGACAAGTTAAGTTCTGATTTCCAGTAATCTACATGGTGGAAATTTTTATATTTTTTAGTTATCCATATAATCTCCTAATTAGAGAATAATCATAACCTTGTCCATTCCAATAGCATTATTTTTCTTTCCTTTAAATGAGATAACAGTAAATTATTTTATAGTGTATAACATTTATATTGCTTTATGTGTGGAAAATACAGTAATCACATCACATTATTTTATCATAGAAAATATAATTATTCACATGATTAGATTCAACTTTAAAACTTTAGAAAATTCATAAATCACACATCAAATTCAACTGATTCATTCTCAAAATATAGACAGTGGCTTGTCCGGTCCTCTAACACACCTACTAGCATCAAAGTCATCCATGTCAACAAATACTGCGGAGCATATTTTAAAAAAGCCAACTAAGTCTTTAAAGATTCCACAAAAGACTCTTAGCTGTATAGCTCTTGCAAGCTTCAAATGACAAAATGTCAAAGGAAAGTAAAACTCCATAGTTCATAATCTAAATATTCTTCAGTTAAACAGGGTTTCATCTTATGTTCCTATGAACAATCCCACTTTTATTTTTTTTTTTATCAAGAACTATCTCCTGTATCCCATTTCCAAGACTAATAATGGTTAAGTCCACACATAAAATTTTGAATTTCACTTGAGTTCTATCTTATGACCAAATAAAGCATCCTTGAAAATTTGTAAAAAAAAATCTCACCAGAACCCTGCTCTGTATAGCAGTTATGAGAAATTGTGGACCGACACCCAACCTCCAATCGCTAGACAAAGGTACCATGATGACAATGTATGTCCACATCAAATGCTGCATACAAATACATAAATACTGTAAGACAGGAAATTGATGCTTTAAATGCATTCTATCACAAATCTCGATAATTTTATGCACATTTCTTTTCTGGCAAAAAAATAAAAGCATGGAGTATATAGTATAACCTCTTTATCTTAACAACCCTCAAAACAATACGATAATCAATATTAATGAATTAAATCGTGGGCTAATCAATATCATCAATAAGATAACAATAATTTAATAATAATCCAAGCTACTTGGCTATTACATATGATAAGCTTAGGGTATAGGTCAGATTAATTTCTTGTATTACAGAATCAATTTGTTGGCTAGGTTTCTATACAGTTTCTTAGAACCAAATACACATCTTTTACTAGAGCTAAATTCACATTTTATCAAAAGTATATTAAAAGTCAAATTTAGAATCAACCGTAAAAGCAGTCAGTCAATATTGGCAAATATGACTACAACAAAAGCCCTGGTTTAAATTCAAAAATTCTGGATGGCTTAAACTCAAGTTAGGAGCAGTAAAATTGTTCAATTGTGCACTATTATAAATCTGAATTAAACCAAATTTTCATACTTCATATGTTTGTCATTAATTTGACAAACCTGTACAAAATGAATTATACAAGATATAAAAGAAAAAAAATAGAGAAAAACAGCTGATCACATGTAAACATTTACAAAAGAGATTTCTAACCCTGTCCCTTCAACAATTCGCATATAGTTAAAATAATGAAATTTGTTCTTATTTGTAAAAGTCAAATTGCATATGAAGTGACCCCAAACGAAAAGAACTGACATCTAAATAATAATGCATAGATCAGTTTTTAATAAAAGGTGTTTTAGTTGACCAAGCTGAAATCTTTAGGAAATACTGTATGGAGGAGAGTTTTAGAAAAAGAAATAGTTGAAACTAAAAATAAAAGATTTGCCATTAGTTTTTCTTCTTCTTCCTCTTCAGTTTTCTCAAATCAACATACAAAACATTTTCAAAAAGAGATTTCATTGGTTGACAAAAACACCTGAAGTCATTTTATTTTCTGAAATACCCCCTTCCCACTTTTTTTACTTTTAAATATATATATATATACATCATTCTTAATACAGTTCAATATATTCAAAATATACTTTACTTTCAACCAGAATAAATGAACAAATCATAAATTCAGTTTAAAACTAAAGATAACTTTCTTTGCCGCAGACTCGTCTGAATAAGCTGCACTTCCGAAGCATCACTTGATATTTTTTATTACTAATATTAATTGTTTGTTTTATCACATCAAGTTTCACACTTTTATATTTGATCACATCTGACTGTGTGATAAAATAGCTCTTTTATATATAGATTTGTGTGTATAGTAGTTTTATATGTACAAGTTATGTAGGTACTGATATGGCACTAGTATAAGTGTTAAGATTGAGTAGCACTGTATTGAGGTGAAGGATTTAATTCATTATGCTGATCCAGAACAGCACAAACATATGATGCTACATCCACTTCCATCTCTTCATATCTCTTTATGAACGGATGTTCCTGAAAAAAAATCAAAAACATTTAATTTTCATGGCAGCAGGCATAAAAGATAAATCTCCACCAGAAGCAAGTTGTCCATGCTAGCTTTAAAAGCATTGTCAACAAATCCGGCAGAGCAATCTGTCCTAATATGGATAGATAACACTTCTAAAATCTAAGGTTCAAAATTCCATTCCAAATTTTGAAATTCAATAGGGCTCTCACTCCTATTCTTTTGAGAATTTCATTGTGTTCACATAAATGTGAATTTAAACAATTACATTAAATTTCTATAAATTTTATTGAAAACTCTGTATATAATCACATTCACAAGTTTTAACAATAAAAATGTAAATGGAACGGTAACTACTAGTCCAACATACGGCACAATTTTATTTCAAAATTTACTTGTAAGTGAGAGTCTTTATCTGTTGGAGGAAACAGGAGAACCCGGGAAAACACCTACTGGTTGGGCAGGTGACCCTTCTCCTTATTGCGTACAAGCTTGGGATCGAAACCATGTCACTTGACTCCAGGAAAGACCTTATGATCTAGAGCACACATGTTAGACCACTCGACCACCCAAGCCATAGACAAACAGACTGAACCTAATTATAAATCCTACATCTGAAATCTAACAAATGTGATTACTTACCAAAAGTTTTGTATATTTAGGCCTCTGTCTTTCTTCTTTAGTTAAACTGGAAAAAATACTTGATATATTTATTGTATGAAACAGAAAAATTAACAACCAAAATAACTGACAACTGTTTCCTAAGCAACAAAGATAAGCAAAAGCTAAACTTATCCCAGCACTAATAATAGTAACACAAGGGGATTTCTTTTATTTGACCATCTAGAAATTTTAATGTTGCCACTATAAAATTATGTAGTACACTTGCAGTAAGGTAAGTAGGCAAGAGATAGTGTACTTTCAGTATGATAAGTAGGAAAGAGATAATGTTAGTAGGCAACTCAGTGATTGTGCCTGGTCATTACAAATATTCTTTCAGATAAAATGAGATGGGGTTTAACGTCCTACTGTTCAGCTCCCACTGGGCTAATGAAGACGAGCATACGAAATGCAGCGTGCTATGAGTCATGAGAGAAATTTTGTCCAGATAGCGACACTATGGCCTACCCTTATTTTGAATTCCAACTGTCAAAGGTTCTTTTACGTGCACACCAATGTGTACACAGGACCTCGGTTTTTTGTCCCATGCGGATGACTATACTTTGTACCTGCCAGGCCCTCCGCCCTACACCACTGACAAGGGGGAACCACGTCTGAAAATCCTGGTGAACTTTCTTGGCCAAAACAGGGATCGAACATGGGGCCTCCAGGATAGAGAGCAAACATCCTACTCATTGAGCCACCATGCCTTTCAGATAAAAATAACTTTCAAAGGTCAACCAGTTGACTCGTTTATACTCAGATCCTATGGCTTTATAGAAGAAGCTGTTTTCCAGCATTAACTAAAACAAGATATTATACATACCATAAAGAAACAAAATTTTTAAATTCTTCGGAAAACCTAATGTCATCTTGAATACGTGGTGGTGGTCCCTGAACCACTTGCGTCAATTGGTCAAATACACTATTCCATTTTTTAAAAGGAAACTTTCCAGTAGCTACCTCAGTCTGAAATTACAAAATACATGAACAAAGATAAAACACAATCAAAATAAACTCCTTCAGCAAAACTGAGTAACAAAAGCAAGGGAAAATTCATGTGAAACTAGGTGTTCATGAAAGGGCAAGCCTTGCCCTGCCTAATGTGCAATAACCAATGTGTTAAATGATTAAATAGAAAAGTTAGGTTGGAACAAATATATCTATAAGGATAATACACCTAGACATGTTATACTGACCACCAAAATATCATATTGAGGAAAATATTAGGCAATGATAGACGGATATCTAGAAGATCAAGTAAGTACACAATCATTCATGAATAACAAAGTAAAAGATGCGTCTAATGTCTACAAGGTCATTTTGGACTTTTAAACAGTAAAAACAGTATATTTTATTCATTTAAGTTTGCAGAGTGCAAAAAAGTAGGCGAGAGATTCTACTCCCTGCACAGCAATTGAACTTATAACAGACCTTTTTATCTACACTTGCACTGCACACGTTAAGGCCCCCCCTTCCACCCAACATAAATACTATCTAAACAGAACTACTAGATTATAAAGATAGGTTGCCAGGCAACAAAACATACGCCCACAGCAGTTAAATCGTCCGGGCAGTCAACAAGAGTTGTCGCATATTTTTACTTTTTTCGGTAATGAAACATTATACACTAAAATCTAATTAAGAGCAACAACTCAGAAAACCATTCGAATTTGTTTGGTTTTTATAAAGTTCTGCCCCATGCTAACGTTTTGTATACAAAACTTTTAATACTGTATCATGGATTTAGCTGTTCCAAGTCATAACAAGGGCCATAACTCTGGCAGTAATTATCGGAAATCGCTGAAAATCAATAGGCTTCTTCGTCTCATGACCTTAAACACTGTGTATAAATTTAAAGTCAATCGGATATTAACTTTCGCCGCTAGAGCGTCCACAAGATTTTTTGAAGTGATCAAGGGCCATATCTCTGGCAGTAATTATCGGAAATCGCTGAAAATCAATAGGCTTCTTCGCTCATGGCCTTAAACACTGTATATAAATTTAAAGTCAATCGGATATTAACTTTAGCCTCTAGAGCGTCCACAAGCAATTGTGGATGCCGGACCGAAGGACGGACGGACGGACGGGGGCAACGACAATATACGACCACATTTCAATGTGGGCGTATAAAAAAGAGCTGTACGATAATGAAGTGGTTAGATCAACTAATGTGAACAAATGTAATGTCAACAAATGTTTCATTATAATACTGATAGAAGAAACAAATATCAACTTACTAAAGTTATTCCTAAACTCCAAACATCTGAGCGTATATCATAACCCTTACTGGAAACTTTAGGGTCTATTCTTTCAGGCTGAAACATAAAATTCATAAATCCAGTTTAAAATGATTGATAACTAGTTCATAGATGAAACATGATTATGCTAGTAATGCTTTTCAATTATATTTGCCATTCATGACTGATTGACATTTGTTGTTAGTCACCTTCCATGCCTGAAAATCTTTTACAAATTGAACTTAAAAACACAATAAATACAAAATTTTGAAGTGAAAGCCATGAGCCGAATTACTGCACTTCAATCATTTTGAGACAACCGAACTGTAATTTTCATTGTGTTTGCTCAAATATCAAGGGATTTTCTACATGAGACGCCAATTTGCATACTGGACCTTGGTTTTGCATACTGGACCTTGGTTTTCCACTCAGTCTTACATGGTTTTCTTTTCAGTCCTACAGGTGGCTCTGACAATTATGATCTTATCTGCAATTCCAGGACAGGTGCCACAAGCACTTAAGAACTATGGTATCTGCCATAAAATAATGTGAAACTTACTGCCATATATGGTCGACAACCAGCGTCTCTACTTTTGGCTATACTATCAACAAGTTGACCACTGATACCAAAATCACAGAGTTTTATATTACCATTTCTGTCCAGCAGAATATTGGAAGGCTTTACATCTATTAAAGTCAAAATAAAATAATACATTTTTTTCAAACTCATTTATGCATCATTAAATTATCTGCATTACAAACAAAACTGGTATCCATATCCATACATTCACATCCACCCAAGACCTTATACCTTTAATGTTTCACATAATAAGGACATTTATAATGTGTCAAGATCCACACCATCAAAGGACATGCATGATGCGTGAAATCATTACTCAGTTTCTAGGATTACCTCCCTTTTTCGTTTTTTTTTTGTTATTTCTTTTATCACTCCAACTTGCCAAACTGATCCACAGCGAATTTTTGCTCAGCCACTGAGAGTATTGCAGTTAATAAGCAAGTAATGTTAATATCTAATTCTGAGATTATTTTTAAAATTTTATACTTACCCCTATGGATTATTTTTAACTTTTCTTTTAGATAATTAAGTGCTTTAACTGTCTGAAAAAAATAAATCATAAATTAAACAATTTTGAAGGAACAACACTTTCAATTAGGTGCTTTAACTGTCTAAAAAAGTAATAATTATGTATTAAAAAATTTGAGAAAGATATTGAAAGTACATGTATATATTTATGTTATTTTACAGTAAAAACTCTTCTAAATCATGTCCTCATTATTGTTCAATAAACATAACTGACAAGAATATAAATCCAAAACTGTGGGAATCTAAAATTGGCCCTTTTCTTCTCCTTCGACATATATACTTGTAGATGTCACAAGTCAACAAAAATTAAAAGTGAAAAGAAACCTCCATTATAATTTACTGTCTAAAAAAGTTGTTTGCTCATCAATGCATTATCTGTAACTCATACAAAATATTCTCATACTTACTGCTACTGTAATTTTTCCTAAAATATCTTCTGGTATTGAACTATGTTGTGTTTCATAAACAAATCTATAAAATTTATCTAAAGATATTTCCATTAATTCCATACATATCCAACAATCACCCTGTAGAAAAACACAAAGATAGGTTGCCAGGCAACGAAACATACGCCCACAGCAGCTAACTTGTCCGGGCAGTCAACAAGAGTTGTCACACATTTTTACTTTTTTCGGTAATGAAACATTTATAATACATTAAAATCTGATTAAGAGTAACAACTCATTAAGTAATTATCAGAAAAACATTAGAATTTGTTTGGTTTTTATAAAGTTTTGCCCCATGCCAACGTTTAGTATAGGAAACTTTTAACATCATGGATTTAGCTGTTCAAGTCATAAAAATTCATTGAAAATCAATATACTTGTTTGTCTCAAGACCTAACACTCTGTGTATGAATCTGAAGTCAATCGGATGATAACTTTAGCTTCTAGAGGGTCACAAGGTTTTTAAAAGTGATCAAGGGTCATAACTTTGGCAGTAATTATCGGAAATCGTTGAAAATCAATACGATTCTTCGTCTCATGACCTCAAACACTCTGTATCAATTTAAAGTCAATCGGATATTAACTTTAGCCTCTAGAGCGTCCACAAGCAAATGTGGACGCCGGACCGAAGGACGAACGGGGGCGACGACAATATACGACCACATTTCAATGTAGGCGTATAAAAAATTTAAAAATCTTCCTTTAATTTGGTCAACTAATTTTTTTTTTAACAATATTTTATTAACAGGATACCGAAACAAGCCAAAGGCTTATATAAATCGGCTTCCCAAAAGCAAGTTACATAAATGATATAAACATATATTATATCAATATCAGTATACATGTACAGGAGTATTAATGTACATATATTATAAGATTATAGGAAGAATATAATCAAGATTTAGCTAGCATCAGGACCAAGAAGGGGTCGATACTCGACTGCTGAGTTTAAGTTCGTTGTTCCAAAATCATGGGCGGCTATTGTAACGTATAACCGACGTTGGTGGGCGGGCGGGCAGGCGGGGCGGGGCGGGGCGAAGGTCAACTAATGAATATCTGCATCCTTCCCATTTTCTTCCGATTTATATTTCTGTTCAAATGTAAGTGGCAACATTAAAATTATCTTAGATTCAAAGCTTACTCTGTGCAATATTATTAAATATATTTTATTTTAATGCTTCTAAATTCCTTCATTAATGCAATTTTATCACATATAGGTTATCTTTCAACAGTTTGCTGTCCGGTTTACCCTTAGTGCACCTCATCATAAGCAGGAAGAAACAAAGACCTTATCAGTCCTGTATTAAATGACATTCATTGGCTTCTGGTGAAAGAAAAGATAAATTTGAAGATACCTTCTTTGATATATCCGGCTATTCATAAAATTGTCTATGTTTACCTACAAGACTTGGTGGTTTCATATCAACCAACTAGAATGCTTCGGTTAACTAGTAAATACTTGTTAAATGTGACGAAAACAAATCAAATATATTTGACAGCATCAACAACATTAAGGAATTCTCTTCCTGATTATGTTAAGATTTTCTCCATCCTCATTTGTTTTCAACTCTTGCTTTAAAACTGACTAATAACCGAGAGCAATATAAATGCACTTTGAGCAGTTTTTTTTTTAAGAATACGCTATGTAAATATCATTTTTATTATTTGCCCCCAGACTCTCATGCCATTGGGTATGGTACTACTAAACAATACACAACAAATACTTACTTCTTTAAACAATGCACCATAAAATTGAACTATGTATGGACAGTCATTACTTTGCATCACAACACCCAGATCCATTAATAACTGTTTTTGTTCTTTTTCAACAACAGTCGACCGCACTCTCTAAAATAAAAAAAAACCCAAAATATTAAGTTTTTCTACTAATTTACAAAAATATTGTGGTGAAAGACACAGAAGGTAAAATCTGTAAAAATATACATTATATAATGAAGTAGCATAATACAATATAAAACTTTTCATATATCACTCATTGAAATAACATATCAGATCAACTCAGTACTTTATTCTGACCTAAATCAATGAAGATTTGCATCTTTAAGGAAAGCAAGTGTCACTACTTGTGTACTTTACAATACCGCTGAGTTCAAGATCTATTCATTTGATTTTATAGTTCTTTTATGTTTGTATCATTATTTGATGTTAAAGTATGCTGCATCAAAGGGCCATTATGGGAGATAAGATAAAGAGCTGACAGTTCTCGCTATAATAGTTAAAAAATAGATAATGTAAATAGAATCTGCTAAAAACTTCAGTTAAATTGCTCCACTCTAAACCAAGATATTAGCTTTTGAATTTTAGGCTAGCCTCGATCATCATTACTAAAGTCAGAATGATAAAATATACAACTGGCGGTAGTTTTTTTCTTTGATGTGCATAGCAGTTACATCTAACATCAACCTGTCATGACGTCATTATAGGTTGATATATTCGGTTCATATCAACTGCTAATGACGTCATGACAGGTTGATATATTCGGTTCGTAACCGCTGATGATCGAAATACGTCATAATACAAAGAACACAGAAATAAATTTTTATTCTTATGACAATTAAAATATTTTATGGTACAGTTTGCAGCATTCAGTACCGAAATAGATGGCGTACTTATTGGCATATTTAGATCGGTAATCCATGTCTTAGATATCTTTTAGAATTTTCTTTCCGTCCACATTTTGATTATTTTTTCACACACTCCAAGACTTGAAAGTATTTATAGCCCAAGAGTTCCTTTGTAAAGTATCTTTGGGTACAGTCCACTTAACACAGTTGGTCAAGTCCTTCTCTGAACATACTGAAAACCTTCACGGTTCACTGTCAGAATTATCAGAAAAGATTGCCTTTTGATCCAAATTTTCTTCAGCCTTTGACTAGCAACTAGTAGATCCTCGTCAGAATTTGCATTCACATCTATTCCACCGTAAATCTGTTGGCTAAAGGAATTGATCATTCGTCTGATAACGTATTACTATCCATTTTGGTTTTGCTCTCAATTCAATTAAATCAATATTTACTCCAAAATGAAGACAGTATAAACAATGCATTTACATGATTAATTTGGTAATTTTCGTTATTTGGCGGAAACTATAGAGCAAGTATCCAATCATTGTTGACTTTTAATGGAAGAGTCCATTTAATTTAAGGGTGATTAAAACTATGATGTTGTATATGTCGGATATAAACCTTCTCTTCCTCGGATTGATGTGATAGAGAACACTTGGGCTTTGCCCTCGTGTTCTCTATCATATAATCCTATACAAACAAAGTATATTTTAAGCAAGAGCTTTATGTATACTATTCATTATCGACATCTCTATAATGTCTATATAAAACACAGGTATATAAAACATTAATATCAATAGGATAGTATAGTAGTCATTATGATTTATATTGCAGGCTTAAAACCATAGATCGTCACTTGAAAGACTGAAAAATTTATACAATATTGTCATTTTGAATTCCTTGCAACCTACAATAGTGTGAAAGTCGAAAAATGGTTCATTTCTGCATGTATATAACTGAAAATTATACAACATTTGGTATCTTCTGCAAGAAATATAAACAAGCCATAATGCTAGGTAATATCTTCTAATGGGCCTCTTTTTGATCCGATTGAATCCATGTCAGGAGATTATCTACCATTAATATTTTGCTTTTCAATTTAATGATAATTAATCTATGGAAGTACATTTTAGCTTGGATTAAGCCATGAAAATTTAACTTAAATATGTATCTATTTCCTTTAAATAGAGAGATATAAAAGCCATGTTTAGACATACTCCTCGCAATGTTTCGTTTGATTAGAGCTAATCCCACTAACACTTCTGTAAAGGAAGTAAATTTCTGTTCCAAATTATGACTGGTCAATAGTCCGATTAACAACCAATAGCTAACTGCGTAACAATATCATTACGCATTAAACAGAGCTCCAAATTGGACCAAATATGTTTACATAACATTACTCATGACTCACCATTTTATCATGCCCAATTAACCAGTGCATAGCAGAAAAACAAACAAGACTATCAACACGTTTACAATGTAAACAATACTGTATTGAGATGAACAATACTTTCACCTTTTTAATACCTTAAATCACTGTCCAAAGTTTTAGGGAAGACCGCAGATTAAACGAAGAGCTGTCATGTTGCAGTACTTTGGATAGATTTGATTGAACAGGAAGAATAGACACACTCCCTCAAAAGCTCAAGTATCAGAAGCCAATCCAGCAAAGGCCAGAGAGGGATTTTTCGGGCCATTGCTTCAGGAATATGTGTTTAGAATGTGTACTAATTACCTTCACTGCCATTATTTTCCCACTTGGTATATGTTTCATTTTATCAACAGTACCATAATTTCCACGACCTATTTCACATAGATCTTCTAAATCTTCGGACGTGAAATCAATCATCTATAGTAATAATAATAAACAATATTTTACAATGAATAACAGCTAAAGAAATACCTCATAGAACTATATGTGTTAAAATTTCAACCAACAAAAGCTTTAAAGAAATTATGAAACCGAATATACAGATGTATCATACTTTTTTCGAAAAGCACTGATAAAAGAGGGGGGGGGGACTTATATCGACTTTGCAACTCAAAGCAACTAGTTCCAGTCAGTTGCAAGTGTGCTTATGTCGATTATATCAGCAACTGCAGACAACTGAATTTGGAGCGCTCATGTCAATTGCGATTACACTCAACACGTGAAGGTTAAATTATTCATCATGAGTTCAACAAAATGGTGAATACCTTAGAAGAAAGCATCCCAAAGGCATGGTCTGTTTCCATGGAAACAGATTGACGCCAGTTGTAAGAACACTCATGTCAATGGCAACAAGTTGCCGCTAGTTGAAGCGAGTTGCAGAAGGTTAAACATGGGAAAATGACTACAACTGATTGAAACTGGTTGCTTTGAGTTGTAAGAGGCGCTCAGTTGAAGCCAGTTGCTCCCAGTTGCCGAAACACCAGTTGCTGTCAGTTGTAAGGTCAACATAAGCCCAAGATCTTTGGGTTATAAACATGCATTTCAAGTTTCATTAAAATCGGGTGAAATTGTGACATCTAGAGTGTCCACAAGCTAAAAACATGATTTTTCCTACAATCAGGGGTCTTAATCCATGGAGTAATCGCCCGCTACATGCCAATATCAAAAGGAACCGAGATCTTTGGGAGATATAGGCTATATTTTAAGTTTCATCAAAATCGGTTAAAAATTGTGACCTATAGAGTGTCCACAAACAAATTGGGGATAGACAGTGGTGACGGCATAATACGTCCACATGAAAATCTGGGCATATAAAAATATTTTACTGTTGAACCTTGACATGTGATGCAACCACCGTCATTAGCCCTACAGAAATAAGATGTTACACTCCATTCACAACAGTAAAAGAAAACAAATAAGTTTGTCAGGGTTTCTTTGTGTACAAATAAGACCTGATATGTATATGTACATTCAAAATATTGAAATTGTCTTAGCTACCTCTCCTTTTTCTAATTTCAACCTTCCATGTGCATCTATTCCATGTCGAGACCGTAAATTTCTTTCTCTAAAATGAAAATGAACAAATATCAACACAAGAAACGAGAAATGATGCAAGCTTATTTTATTACAAAATAAAAGGATTAGAAAAGGTGACTAAAAGTAAAACAAAATATTTTAGTTAGAATCAAAAAGACAAGTGTGGTCATTTCTATAATCTATTCCAATAATTTAGATCTATCTAAAATCGCGGATCATCATTTGCATTTTTCAGAAAATATTAAATTTTTCATGGCTTAATCCAAGCTAAAATGTACTCAAATTGACTATATTCATCATTTGATTTAGAAAGCAAAATCATTTCAGCCGTGTATAGAGAGAGACAGAGAGAGAGAAATGGGGTTTAACGTCCACTTGACACAAACAAGATCATTTCGGGACTAACACATGTTTCAATTTTAATTCAATTATTTGCTTGCATGTAGGGTTCTTTAGCAGTGAGAAAACCCACGAGGTTGGACAGGCGACCCTACTCCTTGTCACGTACAACCGGGGAATCGACACCCCCTCCCCCAATTGACTCAATGACAGACCGTATGATACTTCACAAACGTGCTAAGTTCGGCCATCCACCCCCCCCCCCCAAGCCCTGTATAACCTCCAGGATAAAAATTGTGACCTTTAGAGGGACCACAAACTAAAAATGCAATTTTCGTACAATCTAGGAAGTTATGGTCTAAAATAAGCAAATATAGAAAGGAACTGAGATCTTTTGGTTATCAAAGATACATTATGGGAGATTCAGTAACGAGTTGGCAGTTCTCACTATAATAGTTAAAAACTAGATAATGTAAAGTCAATTTGGTGAAAATTTCATTCAAATTGAGCCACTATGAACCGAGAACTAAGCGACTGAAATTCCCATAAGCCTCGGTCATCATTACTAAAGTCAGTACGATAAAAAGCATAGTCTCGATTATCCATTTAATCGTTTAATCGAGAAGGAAGTTATGCAGTAAATCGGCTTACAATCGGCTAGCGCTGCCATCTAGAGTTGATTATGGCCTGGATAGGTTAATTAATGCCTAATTAATAATTTAGATAACATTTCAGGCCTAAAGAACGACCTGAAATAGGCAGATTTAGCTCTTGCATAATGTATGTTTAACATACATTTCAAAATCGGATAAAAATTGTGACCTCTAGAGTGTCCACAAGCTAAAATCATGATTTTTTGTACAATCAAGGCCATAATCCATGAAGTTACGGTCCAATACATAGAAACATTAGATCACTTGGCCACCCAACCCCCATCTGATTAAAAATAAACTTCTTCATAAATAACCATAATGTTATCATGAATAATGACTCATTTAACATAAGTAATTTTTAATGGTAATTTAAGTATCATATATTTTTATCTAGGGCATGTGACATCACAAACCACAGTAGGTCAGGGTTATTTTTAAAAAGGATGAGTGTTAAAGGATTTAATATATCTTCACTAGAGCTTCATCAAGCAGAACTTAACATCCACAAGATGGTTCTAAGTGAGCAAGGGCCATAACTCTTGACAGTAATTATCAGAAATCACTGAAAATCAAAAGAAATTTTTGTCTCACAAACAGAAGCACTGTGTACAAAATTTCAAGCCAATCAGGAGATAACTTGGGCCTCTTGGAGCTGACAGACAGGAGAATGTCAACTAAATATGACTACATAACAGACGACTAATTCAATTGTGAGGAAAGAAACGAACATTTGTGTTATGTGTCCCATGTCAGCTAAGGATCGAGGTGGTTCTTCTCTCTCAATACTCAGTGTATTTGGTCCATTTGAACTGAAAGACAAGCGCAGATTTGCGCGCCGCTGAGCTGAAAAATATAGAATTTTATAAAAATTAAAAATGAACATTTTATAAGGAAGCTTAGGTACAAATATGTTTATAAATCATGCGACAACTCAATGTACGGCAAATTACAGAATTTTTTTTACATCAGTAGCCTTTCTACCCTATCAATCAATAAGATTCTCTTACTAATGATACTGTTTTGTTATCTGATTTTTAAAAAAAGGTTTGGTACCAAATTGTAAATTTTCATATGATTAAAGTAGTTCATCATCATTAGCATTTTTCAGATAATTTCTAATCTTTCAAGGCTTATTCAACGCTAAATGCTATCAAATTGAATATTTAAAATCTAATTAAAGAGAAAAATTCAAAATATCCATAGTTTCGTGGATTCAATCAGATTAAAAAGATGCAAATCAAATGAAATGAAATGGGGTTTAACATCCTAATGTTCTGCTCTGACTGTGCTAATGAAGGCAGGCATACGAGAAATGTAGCCCGTACAGCAGCGCTATGGCCTACTCTTATATCAAATTCCAACTGCTAAAGGATCTTTTATGTGCACGCCAATGTGTAAATGGGACCGTGGTTTTTTGTCCCATTTGAACAACTATACGTTGTCCCTTGCAGTTCCACGGTCCTGTATACTACTGACCGGAAAAACCTGATGAACTTTCTTGGCTAATGCTGGGATCGGACATGGGACCTCCAGGTTAGCGAGCCAATGTCTAACTTACTGATCTTCTGTGACTCCCAAGAGTCAAAGGAGATTTTCAGTGAGGCTGGTTTTTTTTGACCATATACAAAGCCAAAAGATATTTTAATTGAACTATTTTTGGACTGATAGCGCTTTTTAGAGATTCAAGTTTGTAGTTTGTCAAGGAAAAAAAAAATCATTTTAATTTAACAAATCCATAACAGAAATGAATAATTCACACATGAGTCAGAAAGTAGGATTATAGGCCTTCATTAATATAACATTTATGCCTTACATAATGTTATAATTAATAATATCTTATTTCCGGCCAAAAAAAAGGAAGGTGGTAAGGCTTTATAGTATCAATGATCTTTTTAAAAAAATTTATCGGTGAGGAATATTATTATGTTTCATATGACAATCAAGATGACATTAGTCATACCTTGATTCCCTTGCGGATTTGTACCACCATTGAAAGACATTCTAAAAGCAGTATCCTTATAACAATAACTTATCGTTGGCTAGTAATCCATGTCATCCAGTGTCACAAGCTTCCAGTTTATACATAAGTTTGTACAGTTTTAATTGAATACACAAAAGTTTGATGAAGACAATTCAACAAACACAGTCTGACAGTCACAGAATACTGTCTATGTTACAATAAATAATGATAAAAGTTAATGGTCCGACGACAGCAGACCGTGATGTTAAAATGACAAAACTTGTGATTCATTCATGCCAAAAATAGAAAAAGTCATCAATGAATGAATTGGGATTCTCTACTTTCAAAATTCACTACCTTGGTGATCGTCATCGTATTCACTACTACTACTGTTTGGGGCCGCCATCTTGAAAATTATCCTGAAAATTGCGATGGAACAACGCCCGACAGCCGGGCTGTTGCCCCAGGGTGACAGAAATCTTGCTTCACAGCGTTCCCTGAGTCATGAATATACAGGTAGCATATACGCTAAAGCCGTAGAATATACGATCGAGTTCTATTTCATTTCTTGAGAATGACTCATCAATGAAACTACCAGGGAATATCCCATTGACGTCAGAGCTCACATACAAGATCCTGTTTAGTAAACGAGCCAAAAGGTGGCGCTGTAAAAAAATAAGTATAAATTGTACCCATTTTTACCAAATCGTAGCCACAACAATGATGTCTTGTATTAAGAGTAACATAGTTATAATCACCCACCAAAGGCCACCATTCCACCGCAATTGAGACATTCCACCTTGCACGAGATGAAATGTGTTTTTCACAAACCATGATTAATTAATGCACACATTTTGAAACATTGTGTAGAATAAAGTATGTATTATAAATTAGGCTATGCGTATTCTCCGTGTACTGGGTTCTGTATTAACTGTTTGGAAATTAAATATTATATTAATTGTATATTATACAGATTAGGATATTTACTGTTTGAAAATTAAGTATTGTACATATTTTTAATATGTCCATGTATATTATAAAGTACTATATATTATAAAGTGTGGATTATGTGTATATTAACTGTGTAATATAAGTATGGGCTATATGTGTATTGACTGTGTTTTATACGGAACGACTCCGCTCGTTTTCCCCGTGAGTTAATAGGGAATAAAAGAGGTTCTTTAATAATATTATGATTTATTCAACTATATAGTAAGTGTAGGGGGGCTGTACGTACTGCAATGTACAGTCCCGGGCCTGTAGCGATACAGACTTCACTCAAACTGAATAATGAACTAACAATAAGGGAATATTTCCCAAACGTTGTGTAATACTCGTGTGAATCATGATCGGCTATGTGCTGCATGCTGCATGAAATACAAATGTAGGCACATTGAAGGAAAATACCTTTATGAGAAACCACTTACGTGAAATTTATTAGAAAGCCAATGTACAATGCATAAAAGACGAAGATCATTCATAAAAGGGAAATACCTCGTCCAAAAACATAATACTGTATGCTAAAATCGTGTTGATGTATATTGACTATGTATATAATTGTAAATGTAGAAGAACAGCGCCACACACGAACAGTTCCCCACCCCCACCCCCACCCACACATATGCCCCCCCCCCCCAAAAAAAACCCAAAAAAACAAACAAGGAAGGTAATCGATAGGGTTTACATCACTATATGTATGTGTTGGAAAGCTTGCCAAAGTAGCTATGCCTGTATTAAATTTTACTGTTAGTACAGAAAGAAAGCGGCTTAGATCTATTCCATTTGTTCAAATAGAGCACCATGCCAGTTTAAAACAAGGGAAGTAAATCGGTAGAGGTTACACCACTACAAATGTTTGAAAAATATACAAACTTTGCCGACTTGCCGTGAATGTATTAAATACAAAGTTAGAGCCTTACGTTTTTTTGACTCGAAGGTCACTCTTGAAAGTGAAATATCTTTACCGAAAATATAGTAACTTTAAAAAGTGCGAAGTGGAGTCAATACAAATCAATGCAAACTTCAATGACGACAATTTTGGGGCTCATACGTTATCTTTTAATAAGAGTAACCGAAATGCTTTTTTTTAAAACGTTTATGCTATCAATTTATATTAATATCTTAAGTGATGGCAATTACGCATGTCATGGGCTATGTTCCACAAGTAATAGGTTTGGTAGGAGTTAATTCCCCGTACCTTGACCATTGGACAATCTTCGGGCTGGAAGATTGTCTTAGATATGAATCTCACCCCTACTATTCACACGCCCTAAACTATTCATTTAAAACCAAGAAAAGACTTTGGTGTTCTTAAAACGCATCACGTGGTGATATTGTCGTATAGTAGACACGATTTGTCATATATTGACACAGATAGACAAAGATACTCGCTGAAATACATATTTGGGACATGTATCAACATCACAAATCAGATATACATGACGTGAAAATTTAAAGGTATTTCTACTCCAAATATATCCTTTTTTAATCAAAAGTGTGACATGTTGGATGAAAATATATTATATAGTGACATAGATCATAAACGGCAATCAATCCCATTGTCCATAAAGATCATCATAACAAATCATTTCGCCTATTAATAACACGTCATATATATCTGACGTCATGAGAGGAACTGCCAGTCACTGCATATTATTATAATATACTAACACGTGCTATACTCCCGGTACTCTGTGAATATTTCGGTGTAGGTGAATACAGTCATTAGATCTAAGAATATTATAACACGTGTCGCTGGTTTGTTTATTTACAGCGACTGACAGTTTTTCTCGTGACATCACATAGTTTCTAACGGCGTGTTATGTTTTCAAATATGATAATGAATAAAATATAAAAAAAAGTTTGCACCGAATTTATGATTTGGGGATATTTTTCGGTCAGATAATAGAATTTGTTTCCATTGCCTACATGAGCCGAAACTCTATGTTTAAACAATTCTATATTACAATATTGTACTCCTTAATCATATTTCTGTCATTAAAACTTTGTAAACTACAATATTATAATTTATCACAAAAAGTTTTCATAAAAATTTAAGCCATTGTATTTTAGATAGCAAATTTGATTTGTTTTATGTTTACCGACTTTTTCTTATTGTAATTTGAATAGTCTTAGTAACATGTGTATCGGTTAATTAAATATACATAAGAAATGTGAACTATATGTTAAAAAAACATGTTTGTTATCTTCGGCTTCTGAGAATATCTGTATATCCTTAACTTATGTTGCTGGTCGATAATAACAATCCCATTTAAACAAATCAATGTCGCAGTAATTCATAATACTTTGTACCCAACCCCCTCCCTGAATTCGATAAATACCCCACATTATTTTTTTCAAATTATATAAAATGATTATGGCGTACTGAATAAAATATGACAACTATGATATCAATTTTTTTAATAAAAAGAGTTGGAATAATGAAATATGTCAAATATGATATCCGATTTTTAAAAAAGAGTTGGGATAATAAAAGTAGATATTATCATCATAAAGTAGCTATGTATTTGATCGTACAATGTAAACAATTATGTCTTGGTTTCATCAGGTGTTTGCTTGTCATTGATCTATTCAAGGTACACAGTAAATCCTATCGTGACTGGGCGTGGCCAATCCGTGACGTCACGACCTATAAAAGAGAGACGGTGTTGGAGAAGAGCTGGTTGAAGTATTTAGATAGGAAACCGTGTCATTTTTACTTGAGTTAAAGGTGTATGAGCAATAAGTAGATTAAATCCGTATTCATTTATTAGTATTTAGTGTACATAGACATTGTTAGTAGTGTAGAATTGACGTTATGTTACATCGGACGAGAATGGCGTGTGCTTTCGCCAGCGTGTGTCTTATAATACTGGCAATGGATGCTGGGGTAATCAAGGCAGCTAACCCAACTAACACCTCCAGTCTAACATCAGAAAACACGGAGTTGAAAAAAAATCCTATTGAGAGAGGGATGGAAGTTTTATATCAGATGACCAACTCATTTTTGGGAATTGTACAAAAGGGTCATTTATATGATCAAAAGTGGTTAAGTAAGTATCAACAAAGTTATCATGACATGCACCTATATTTATTTCTTTTTAACGATGACACAGGTAACACGATACCTGGTAAAATAAGAACAGGGTTTATACACAGTCAACCCATCACTTGATCTTGAATAATATTCAGAGATACTTGAATTCAAACAGTTTCTTTACTATTGGGTACAACGTTACTATATTATATATACAAATGTACCAATAATATAAATTACACATTCATTTAAAGGGACAATAACACTCTATAGCTGGCTTAAAAGCTCCAGAAAATAAAAAAATATCTCAATCTAAGTACTAGATGTTTAAGTGTCCTACCTGTTGTGTAAATTATCCATTACATCCTATTTTACTTGTCCAGAGGGTTCGAAAATATTTTTAAATCGAAGTTTCATTTGAAATTAAGGTTTACGTTAGATGTTTCAAACCATTATGTTGAATTTTTCAAAATTTTTTAATAAGGTGTGTTAAGATGAAATTTGTATCATCAATTAATTGAAATATTCTAAAATAGTACAATTTGTTGACCAGAATAAAGATTGGGACATATTATTCAGTTACAACAAGAGTGGTATTGAGCCTTTAAGTATAGCCACCCAGGGGTGCCGGAACGGAGTGAGGGCCAGGGTACCAAAAGATAGTAGGGGGGTCCGGGGCTGGGGGGTTCTCTCCCCCCGGCTTCTAGAAAATTTTGAAATTTGTCAATTCCGAGAACGCTGTTTAGAGCGCCTCAAGCATTCCAAATTCCAACATAAAACCCTTTAAAATACATGATAATGAAAGGGACAAAAGCCTGATTATTCACAATTTTCATATCATGAGCAATTCATCTCATAAAAAAATTCTTTTTAATTTTGACTTTCAATACATCAATCTTCATCAAGAAAATAGAATAAGCTTTTTGAAAGAGACAGCAGATTTAGAGACACCAGTGGCGGATTAAGCTCCACCAAGGCCTGAGGCGGCAGTTGCTGGAGGGCCTATTTAGTTTTTAAAGTTAGAGCCAAGGTAGTTGCTAACATTAAAGACGTAATGTAACTTTATATGCCCATAAATGACGTCACATGGATACAATATAATAAGCAAGACATAACCGAAAACTTACAAGGATTTAACATACATTGTAGGCCTACGGTTAAAAAATAAGATCAGATCTCCAAACAATAGGGCCTATTTAAAATGGCGTGGGCCTAATTAATTTCGGGTCAGGGCCTATGTTGATTCCCGTTGGGCCTAAACCCCACCCCCCTAACATTCATTGTCTATGCGTTTTTAATCATATCAGACAAGTCTAAAAAATTTTTTTTTACAAAATCTTTGGGCCTGAGGCTGCAGCCTCATCAGCCTCACTGATAATCCGCTACTGAGAGACATGATTCTTGCAAGAGCTCATATTCAGGAGCAAGTGTTCATGAGACACTATAATGAGACTATAATCGACCGAAATAATTAATGCGCTGATCAGATTTCACAATAAATTCAGATAATATTTTCACAATGTCTATTTCGTCCATTCTCAACTTGTGAATTTTTGCAAATAGTTGATTGACCACTTATAGACATCTGGCCAAGGCATGCACTTATAGCTGATAATGAGAATGCAAGAGCCGGTTCACAACCGACCAGAGAGCAATTACATATCTATAATTTAAAAATGAATAGACTAGTAAAAAGGTTGAAAACTTTCATCATTAGGGCATGGGTATACATATATACCCCAGAAAAGGGCAGGGTACCGTTTGTATACCCTGGTACCTGGGTTCCGGCGCCCCTGAGTATACATGTAGCCCAATTTTACCATTTGATAAAGTAAAACATATCTTACAAGACAACACAAAAGTAATAAGTAATGGATGATTCACAAACAATAAAAAAATAATAAAAAAACCAACAAGTTGAATGGACTGAGCGGGCGTAAAAGACTGTCGTTCAGTTTGGTCTGTTCATGTATTCCATCGAATATAATTGATTTGAAATTACAAAGCAGAAATTATATTACCTAGTATAATGTGTATATATACACAAACTATTGACAAACAGGATGTCAACTCACTGCACCCATGATATTTTACAACAAAGATTGTTTATTTCTTAATAGGAAATGACTATTGATACTAATTGATCTTTACGTCAATTGGATTGAAATACAGATCTTACTTATTTTTATAGTTCAAATTTCGTTTTATTTGCCTTGACTAATTGTGACATAAAATGGGGTTTAACCTCTGAATTACATAAAATACAGAAGGAACTCCCTAACTAACCATGACCGACTATCCAAGATCTATAAAATGACAAACAAATTATCATGTATATATGCAATGTAGTGACTATATGCTGACGTCTATATTGATGTCATAAAGTCAGTATGTGGGAAGTAATATAAGCTACTGTTTAAGTTACATCTTATTCAAATTCTAAGTACCAGTAAAACTGGTCTGATACATGTTACAGCTTCCTGGTATATACATGTCAAATTAGTCATTTATCGAGGGGGATATGGGACAACATAAAATGATTGGAAAGAATGCAGTTTTCAGTTCCACAATTGTTTCAAGTATTAAAGAAAATGATATCTATTCCGTCATTCCAGGTCACCATCCAAACTTTTATGGAAGTCTGGTAATTTAGAGACACACCTGTGACACAATCAAATTGTATTTAGTCCATCACAAGGCTATTCTCGATTTGTTGATTGTCAGAACTATTTTTTATTTGTCTGTATTACTCATAGCGATCTTTTAGAATATTCATACATTTTATAGAGGGCTTAAAGTTTTACAACAGTTTGTTGAAGCGTGGTGAATATTCATGAGCCACAGGACCACACTGAACAGCAGTGAATTTTCGCTAGGCCGCTACAATCACTGATAAGGATGACATCGATGTGACTTAATGAGTCCCAAATATTAACTTTTTTCTTCCGTCAAATTAAATTCTAAAACATTTTTATCATTTATTAGAAAAATAAATAAAGACATTTGAATGGTTTGTAGGTAAAAATCATTTCCTATATAGTGTAAATAGGTATTAAAATAAGTAAAATTCACCATTTAGCCCGAATCAGTAACGTCTTATGTAAACAATGCACGCGCTATTGAGCCAATGATTGATGCCGCGTGATGTGACGTCACGTGTCGAAACAGTCATCTGTAACAGAGATATGAAAAGATCTCTGTGAAACAGATTGCCACAGGACAACAAAATGCCATTTCACAGTTTGTTGGGTTATGAATGAATTTGTGTTCGGCACAAATATTCAAATATTCTCTCATTGAATATAATATTCGAATATTCTCTCATTGAATATAATATTCATATATTCTCTCATTGAATATTCTCTAATTGAATATAATATTCGAATATTCTCTCATTGAATATGATATACAAATATTCGCTCATTGAATATAATATTCGAATATTCGCTCATTGAATATAATATTCGAAATAGCAATCACCATATACGAATATTTCGAATATCTACAATATCTACATTCTTTATTCTATTTGCTCTCTAATATTAAATAAAGGCGACTTTCCTTGCCACATTTACATTCAAAGCTTACTTAGATTACCTAACTGCAGCTTGTAAGAGTGCTACCCCTACATAGACAGTCTTCAGAGACAGTTATTCGTTAAGTCGCTTGTTACCAACTTTAGTTAGCCAGTTAGTGCCGCGATGGAGTTGACTAATATTGCACCAAGATTCAGCCAATTACAAAGTTCTACACACAGAAAGCTACCATGTATTCAGGCAACAGCAAGAAGTATGACAGAGATTCAGTGCAGCACAAAACATAACACTGAGAAATTGATCAAGTTTGTCGCTAAGCATTATGAGCCCCTTCCTCTTGTTGACAATGACCATTGTCGAGAATTGGTAGAAGCCCTGAATCCATCTCACAATTTGCTGTCAGGTAAAACACTAAAAAAAAGAATGGAAGAAATATATGATGCCTTGCGTTCAGACATAAGTCAAATCAGGAATGACCCAAGTCAGAAGTTAGCCGCTATGACCAGAGATGTATGGACATAAGATGAACAAAATGAGTCTTGCATTAGTTTAATCGCTCATTTTGTATCACCAGTTCGGGAGATGGTGGCTAAGACTCTGGAAGTGAAACCATGTCCAGGTTCACATACCTTGGATAAACTAAAAGAGCATCTGAAGGAGACGGCAGAAGTTTGGTGTATAGATATACTTCCGCAGAATGGGGTCATACGAAAGTTTAGGTCTATGTCTACTAGTTGCGATGTCGTGGAAGGTTGAGGATTGTGTACAAATTGGCAGTTTACGTAAAAGATCCATTGGCAATTACTAAAATATAATCTTGTGCACTGTTCACATGTCAACAGAAATTTCACGTATTTCATAATTGATTAGAAATTAAATTACATTGAATATAAACCACTTGAAATATATTTATATTAAAAATTGAAAATATTCGAATAGTATTCGAATACAAATTTCAAGACCCATTGAATATTTGAATAGTATTTTTGTTCGAATATCCGAACACTAGAATGAATATATAAAAAGAATTGATTTGATTGGCCCTACATTATTAAGATTCTATTCTGTGTATAATATTTCTCTGTGTAATAACATAAATCAGGAGATGGAAAGAAAAACATTTTAGTCATCAACTAATTTGATACTTGTCAGGCATGAAGGGAAGTTAATATTGTAACTTTAGACTTACAATATAGGGTATTTACCTAAATTAAACATGAGATAAATATGTTCTACATATGTATAATATTTTCCTCATCAGACTCACAAACTATTATGGACTCTGCTATGAGTTGTCTCTACTCTACAATTACTATGCAAGGAGCCACAGTGGCTCAGTGAGTAAGATGACTTGCTAGCCTGGAAGTCGCAGGTTCGATGCCAGTGTTGACTGAGAAAGTTCATCAGGATTTTCTGGCGTAGTTTCCCCTTGTCATTGGTGCAGGACGGACGGCCCGACAAGGAATTCGATATAATAAAA